AAAAAAAAAAAAAAAAAAAGATCCTCCAGCCTTGGCTTCCCAGAGTGCTAGGATTATAGGTGTGAGGCAACATGTCCCACCTGAGCTTTCTACTTTGCTAAGCAGAACACAAGGGCTCCATGACTTTGTAGGTGGCCATGAGTGATGCCTTAATTCCAAGAGGGCTGGAGGGGAAGACCAAACTGTCTTACCTAACAGACTCATTCTCAGTCCCATGAGTATATATCCTGTAATAGGGGCTTAGAACACTGTCTCTAACACAAGTCTGTTGGACATGGTTTCTTTCTTATTTTTTTGAGACAGTCTCACTTTGTCACCCTTGGTAGAGTCCCCTGGGGTCACAGCTTATAGCAACTTCAAACTCTTGGGCTTAAGAGATTCTTTTGCCTTAGCTGCCCAAGTAGCTGGGACTATAGGTGCCCGCCACAATGCCTGGCTATTTTTTTTTTTTTTGTAGTTGTCATGGTTGTTTAGCAGGCCCAGGCTGAGTTTGAACCTGCCAGTCCTGGTGTATATGGCCGGCACCCTAACCACCTAGCTATGGGTGCCAAACCATTGATGTGGTTTCTAATCATAACCTCACTTGCTGTGTGCTCTTGGACAAGTTACTGAATCCTCCACTAGCTCAGCCCTTAACATACTTATAAAAGGTGAAAAGATGTGCTCCACTCCTGGTTTGATTGAGATGATATTCTCCCTTGGGGAGTTGGGTAAGGCAGGGTTTAACAGAAATCTCTCTCCATTTCTGCAGAGCTGCAATCCTTGTTTAATTCACCAGACTTCAGCAAGATCACAGGCAAACCTATCAAGCTTACACAAGTGGAACACCGGTCTGGCTTCGAGTGGAATGAGGATGGAGCAGCAACCACCCCTAGCCCAGGGCTCCAACCTTCCCACCGCACCTTCCCCCTGGACTATCACCTTAACCAACCTTTCATCTTTGTACTGAGGGACACGGACACAGGAGCCCTTCTCTTCATAGGCAAAATTCTGGATCCCAGGGGCACTTAATCCTCCAATTTAATGTTCTAATACTCTAGAAGAAGAACACCCCAGAAGGATGGCAGATTATACATTACATGGAGGCTGCCCCTATGTTTCAATGTATACAATAAAAGAGCTTTATACTTAACTTTTGTTACTTATTTCTCTTCCTATTTTGAGCTATGCTCAGTTTATAGGAAGATAAATTGTCCTTTAGGATTTTCCTGGTTGTGTATTTATAGCCTGGTTTTATCTAACTGTGCAGAAACTCACCATTTATAAGAACTTAATTATCTGTGTTGTGTGACGCAGGCACTGCTCTGCTCGCGGGGGTGTTTAGGTTCTAGGATCACTAATCCTCCCAGGAAGGCATTTCCTGCATACTCATTAAATAAGCCAGACGTGCGATTTTTGTTTCTTTTTTGGAGATGGGGCCTCATTTTATTGCCCAGGCTGGAGTGCAGTACTGCAATCATAGCTCACTGTAGACTCAAATTCCTGGGCTCAAGTGACCCTTCTGGCTCAGCCTCCTGAGTAGTTGAGATTATAGGTGTGAGCCACTGGGCATCCAGACTTTAGGTTTTAAATGTAAGTACATTCCTCAGTCAAACTAATGTCATATTAACAAGATAGAGTAAGATAACATGTGGAAAGATAAGGCAGGTAATTTGTAACTACAGGAACTAATTTTACAGATCATTTAAAGAAAGAACTGGTATGTAAAGATTCTACACATATTCTTTTTAAGGAAGTATGCCTATTTTACAAAATAAAATAGAGCCTTTTTTTAGGAATATGAAACATGCCACATGTTTGGAGAATAACTGTGGAATTGTTTGCAGGACTACATTTTATTTTTCTTAAAAAAGTTAGCTTTACCAAAAAAAATCCCACTGGCCACTCTTTTGCCATAATGAATTATTAGAAAAGAGAAATGAAATTCTGCTTATGAAATTCCCTTCATTTAACAAATGTGTCAGTGTTAACTTTATTCCAAACAGCTTCCTCAAAAGCTACTGCCAGGCATCAGGGCTATTAATTTCCTAATGATAATGCCATGGTAACCAACAGGCAGTTCTTGGGCATGGCCAGGGTGGGCAAACTCAAAAGCAGTGTAGACCCAGCATTCTTTTTTTTTTTTTTCAGTTTTTGGCCAGGGCCGGGTTTTAACCCATCACTTTTGGTATATGGGGCCGGCGCCCTACTCCTTTGAGCCACAGGCACCGCCTGTAGATCTGGCATTCTTTCCCACTAATGCATCCGAACCACGTGATCACCAGTGGTATTACAGCAACCAGAGTTTAGACCCAGAGACTCCTGCAACCTTCTGAGCAGGATGGGGTCTGGATTATTCCACATATCCCAGTGGAAGGGAAAATCATCCCTATCTTCTGTCTCTTGATTTTGAAACCACAAACAGCAATGTCTATACCTTCAGCATTTTAAGTCTCTCTTCCCACTACCCAGACAGTCTATATTTCATTTGTCAGACTGGAGAGGTCTGGTAGATAACAGTAGTTTCTTTTCAGGCTTGCCAACAAATAGAATATGTCAGAAAGGAGGCACATGTGTTATAAAGTCATTACTGCAAGTTTGATTTTATTAGTGTTTGGTCGGTGAGTCTGTTAAGAGTATACAAGGAAAGCCAGAGAATAAAAACTGGAAAACTGTTAGAAAATTCAAAGTTGTCATTCCAGGAAGAAATTGCTCAACAATAAAATGGCTCCACATTTATTTCCCTATTCACAGTTTATACTCCATTAGTCCTAACAAAGGATTTGCAGAAGCTAGATACCATAAGTGTGTCTCCAGAGGTAAGCAGGCTTACTGATTTCTTGCTTTATAATTATTTTTCAATTACAATACTACTACTAAGAGTTTAAGTTCCCACTGGAGTGGTATACAACATTTCATTATGACTAGAAACCATAGGAATGTTCCAGGGAAACAGGCTATCATCATTTGGAGGTGGAATCTAACCAAAACCCCAGGCTAACATGCAGAAGCCTGCAGATCAGCTAAAATTCTTTTAAAGGACTTGGACTCTCCAGATACTAGTTTTAAGTCTTTTCTGGGAACTGGGAGTTTTTACTGGAGGACAGTTAACTATTTTAGGAAACATTCATCAAAACAGGCGAGTGTCTCTCTCCAACTGCAATGCTTTCAGAGTCCTGCCTGCCCCTTATATCCTAGGCTCGGGACTGTCGGGAAATCCTGTCTTTCCTGAGGACAGCTTAGCAGAGGCAGAATTTCTTTAACTCATCTTCTATGAGCTTCTTTCCTGGGGGCTGAAGTCCCCTTGGCTTCCTACATTGAAGGTCTCACAGGGATGGGTGGCAAGTCTATTAAACAGGATTTCATCTTTTGGAGCTCCTGGATCTCATCATTCCAAGGGCCATAGTGCACCAACAGAACTTTTTCTGCCTTCTGTATTGTGTTCAGAGCTTCGGGTACTGCAAACCTGAACAGATGTACGAGGAGTTAGTTCATTCATTCAGTGAAGCAAATACTGATTGAGGGCCTACATACGTGGTGAAGAAGAGAGTTATATGAGATCATCTCTGTCCTCAAGCAACTTATAATGAAGAAGACACTTTCCAAATACACTTAAGGCAGAGTTTGAGAAAAAACTTATATATATAAAAAAGAGGTACGGACTATAGGATCCTGAAAAAAACAGGCAAATTTCAAAGCTTTCAACTAGTATTTACCCCAAGGTTTATGCAGCAGTCTTTTTTTTTTTTTTTTTTTGAGACAGAGTCTCACTTTGTCGCTCTCAGTAGAGTGCTGTGGTGTCACAACTCACAGCAACCTCAAACTCTTTGTTCTTAAGCAATTCTCTTGTCTCAGTCTCCCAAGTAGCTAGAATTATAGGCACTCGCCCAACACCTGGCTATTTTTAGAGATGGGGGTCTCACTCTGGTTCAGGCTGGTCTCAAACCTGTGAGCTCAGGCAATCCACCTGCCTTGGCCTCCCAAGTGCTGGGATTACAGGCGTGAGCCACTGTGCCTGGCCCTAATGCAGCAGTTTTCATCTTAGTGAAAGTTTTCATCTTGGTGTCATCTTGTTACCAAGTTGACCCCTGACCTAACTCTGCAGCCCTTTCTCTCTGGCCAAATGGGCTGCCTTTACCTACCATTCATAATATTAGGTTTAAGCTTCAAACACTTTCTCATACCAAGGTACACCAATGACAGTTTTACCAAGATATTTCATCCAGAAATACTGAAATTAGGACTTTCCAAATCATCTCTAGCAAAAATGGATGAGGTGGCTC